ATTTTATAATTTTCAAACAACCTTCTTCTGTCAAACATAACCTCTTAACAGTCTAAAACATTTTCTTCCCAAAAAACTCCAATAAACTAATTCTTCAAACAAACCATATAAAACAAAATAAACCTAACCTATAATTTTATAATTTCCAAATAACCTCACTTCTTCTATCAAACATAACCTCTTAACAATTTTAAACATTCTTTCCCAAATAATTTCCTTAAACAAGTAACACAAAATAAAAATCTACCTTCCATTTTTAAACATTTTATCGCCAAAAAACTTTAATCAATAAACCAATTCTTCAAACAAACCATATAAAACATAAAATAACCCTAACCTATAATTTTATAATTTCCAAATAACCTCGGTTCTCCGTAGTCCCGTTAAATCCGGTCCGTCGTCGAGAAACAGATTCCGACTAGATCGGAAAGGCGATTATTTATTCCTGTTCCCGTGCGCTCGCTAGAATAGGACGTAAGTACCATATGTGGTCGAAATCTGAAATTTCGCTGACGACCATCCGGGGACCGTGAAGCCGAATCCGTTAAGGGTTTCTGCTCATTGGAGCGTCCTCTGCGCGCCAGGCGGGAGAGCTCCCCGAGGATTTCACAGCCGGGATATATCCACCGAGCAAGATTACACCGTGCATTCTGCTGTACACCGGCTCCTCCAGTAATTGAAAAGGATTTGTTTCTTCTGGGCAATCTACAATCGATTTGCATACGTTGGAACGGCCACGGTACCCTTCCCTGTACACTCGCGGCCGGTGAAAGGAGGGACCAGTTTTTGCTACCACTTAACCTCTTTGGAAACCAATTTAGAAGTTTGGTAGAGTCTAATGAAAATTATTTTTTTTTATAATTTTGTATTGAGTGATATGTCGTTGGTAATTTTAGAGAGATTAGGTGGCAAAGATTTTATTAATTTGTTTTTATTTTTAGATACCAGTTAACCTCTTTTGTAGAACACCAATTCAGAATGTTACTTTTATTTATTTTACAATGGCATACGTGCTTTAATTTTGGTAATTTTTGAATAAGAGGTTAGGTGGCAAAGATTTTATTAATTTATTTTTATTTTTAGCTACAAGTTAACCTCTTTCGTTGGAAACCAATTCAGATATTTGCAGTTTAGTGAGAATGTTATTTTTATTTAATTTATATTGACAATTTTTGAATGAGAGGTTAGGTGGCAGAGCTTCTTTTAATATGTTAGGTTATGTCTGATTTTTAGCTGTCACTTAACCTCTTTTGTTGGAAACCAATTCAGAATGTTATTTTTATTTATTTTACAAGGGTATGTGAGCATTAATTTTGTTTATTAATAATTTTGTATTGAGTGATATGTCATTGACAATTTTTTAATAAGAGGTTAGGTAGCAGAGCTTCTTTTAATATATTAGGTTATGTCTGATTTTTAGTTTGAAATGGCAATATAGTATTAAATTTTAATTAGTTTAAACAAACGTTTAACCAACGATAACTCAGCATGGCTTAGAGGGTTAAATAAAATACACTGAAACAAAGTAAACACGTTAACTGCCACGAGAATCTTGAATGTTTTACATATAATTTATTCTTTAATAGGAAAAATAAATAGGAGCAATTATTCATTGTAAATATTACATTACATTATTATTATTAACCCTAGAACTACCATAGTCAAAATGACTATTCCTAACTATGACCTTCACTACTATGACCATTCCTAATTTCTTCTATAATAATTATTAAAAAAATAACAAATAATTTTCAGAGAAAACACAATAAAAATTAATTCACCAATAAACAAACTGAATTATAAATCAATAAAAATTCTAGTACTAATCTATTCAGTACTTCTATTGTTAAACAATTATCTACTAAACAATATCAACAAATTGCAATTATTTGTTTGGTTCTATTGTTCAATTTCCACAAAATTCCAAAAAGTAAATTCCACCAAACAATATCAACAAATTGCAATTATTTATTTCCCTCTGCTTCCATAATTCAATTTCCACAAAAAGACTATCAAGTAGTTCCATTATTAATCTACCAAAAACCATCATCATTCCCAACTCTCCAACGACAACCATCAACGACCATCGTGGCAGCGTACGCGTCAAAAAGAATTCGCAAAGAACATTGCAACGGTGCGCCAGTGATCAAGATCTTTTATTGTTAATCGAATTACACATAGTACTTCCACATGCTCGTGAACTACGTTACTGTGAGTGCTACGACAATCTACACGGCGTTTCTTACAGCTGTACTTATACACACCGGTCTACGTTGAAAAGCAGAAGTCCCTTGACACAGATGCCCCGCGACCGATGGGAATCGCGAGAGCGTGCATGCGAGCGTGCGAGCTCGGACAAGAAAAACGAACGATCGTTCCGCGGGTGTCTCTCGAGATCCTCGCCGTCGGAAGACGCCCGGCCAGTCGCTCGGGAGGGTAATAATCGTAAAGAGTATATTGTACGCTATATCGGCTCACGGGAACCAATTTCAAGCAGCGTTTCGCGTCCTCCGTCGCATTAAATGTAGCGATTACAATTCCCGTCCCGCGCGATCCCCCCGGATGGACGAACGAAAGTACAACGGAGAATGTTCGCGCGGTCGCCTATCGGGTAATTACACTAGTGGAAATATTTATCGTTTCGTTACCGTGCACGCTTCGCGTTAGCGCGTTCAGGACCGGTGACGTGATAGTGCGTCATCGGGGATTTTGGTGTTGTGACGTTAGTTGGCGGGTTTTTTGGGGTTGTGTGGTATAGCGATGCTCGGTTGAAGTTTAGAATTTTGGGCAGTGATTTAAATGTGGAGGAAACTTCGTTTTATGTTGTTGAATTAAGTGTTGGTGGATTGCTGGGATCGCGCTGATTAAAACGAGTACAAACACGGTGGGAATCGGAGTAGGTTTAATGTAAGGAAACTAAAGGCTGGTTTTCATGAAACCGAGAAACTAGTCCTATTTATTCCGTGTTTGAGCTCATTTTAATCGGGAGAATCTGAACATTCTATTCGTACTGCGATTGAAAAGGTAAGGTTAAATGTGTAACGAAGAAAATTTCAGTTATAAATTTCATTTTATCTTGTTGAATGTAGTGTCGACGGATTGCTGGGATTGCGCTGATTAAAATGAGTCCAAACACGGTGGGAATCGGAGCAGGTTTACGAATTTCATGTAATTTTTGAGACTAAAGGCTGGTTTCTATGAAATCGAAAAATTAGTCCGATTCACGTCGTGTTTGGGCTCGTTTTAATTAGAAAAATCCCAGAAATCCGTCGGTACCACGATCGAGAAGGTAAGGTTAAACATGCAACGAAGAAAATTTCAGTTGCCGCAATTCTGATCTTATCTTCTCCAGTGTAACATCAATGGATTACTGAGATCGTCGCGATTAAAACGAGTCCAAACACGATGGCAATCGGATTACTTTTAATGATTTAATATAATTAACGAAATTAAAGGCTCGTTTCCATGAAATCTACAAACTAGTCCGATTCCCATCGTGTTTGGGCTCATTTTAACTAGCACGATCTCAGCAATCTGTCTCTCCCTACTAGGATCAGATTACACCGACCCGAAGACAATCAGTTATGGGGAAAAGTAGGGCAGCTGCTGTGAAATTTAAGCGAGCAGATTTCGTTAAATTTAACCGAGCCTCACTATACTGTACACACTTATATTTTTATCTTTTTTAGAATAATCCGTAATACTACGTCGTTTTACTGTTCTTAGACGAACTTCTGCCACTTAATGCTACATTATTTGAAAATCTGTAGCTAAGTATACCATATTCTTCTATCATTTACTTCGAGAAATCACACGGTCGCGAATGTGCTAACGGATTGCGGATGTTCACGCAAATGTCCGTCGTCTCGGGTTCAATGGATTACTTCTAAAACCTCGTTACAAGCTGTTTCTCACGACAAAAGAAAAAGGTATAAGTTTCATTGTGCTTTGGTTATTGTTATCGGTTTATTCTCGGCTTTGTTTCACAATGTGGCGTATTCCACGAATGCATAACCAAGACCTAACCAAGACCTATATGGTTCGTCAAGGATATAAATTTTAATCTACCACAATGAATTCTCAATTATAAAATCTTCACGCCTTAGAAAACGACTCGCCATCTTCCTAAAGACTTATCTGTCTATCAATGCTAACTGCTTACAGAGGTGCACAAATTATTAATCGAATTTATTACTAGTTTCCATAGAAACCTCAAGAAACAGTAAACATAAATCCAAGTTTTCTCCAATGTATTGGATTGACAAGAATTTCTGCGAATTTTATAATTTGTTTTTTTGGATTTGGTTGTTGACACTGTTATGTTACTATAGAAACAAATTCCATTTAATTTCATTTTATCTTCTTGAATGTAGCACCAGTGGGTTGCTGGGATCGCGTCGATTAAAATGAGCCCAAACACGGTAGGAATCGGACTAGTTTGACGAATTTCATGCAATTTTCGAAATTAAAGGCTGGTTTCCATGAAACCGAAAAACTAGTCCGATTCACATCGTGTTTAGGCTCGTTTTAACCGGAAGAATCTCGACATTCCATCGGTGCTATGATGGAGAAGGTAAGGTTAAACATGCAACGACGAAAATTTCAATTATAATAATTGTAATCTTATCTTCCCAAGCCTAGTACCAGTGAACTTCTGAGATTGCGCTGATTAAAATGAGCCCAAACATGATGGGAATCGGTCTGGTTTCACCGACTTGACATAATTAACGAAACTAAAGGCTCGTTTCTATGAAATCCTAAAGCTTCTCCGATTCCTATCGTGTTTGGGCTCATTTTAATCAGCGCGATTTCGACATTCCATCGGTACTATGATTGAGAAGCTAAGGTTAAGCATGCAACGAAGAAAATTTCAATTATAATAACTTTAATTTTATCTTGCCAAGTGTAATCTTCCTAAGTGCTTTAAATGCTGGAGCAAGACATCGAATAAATATTGTTCCATTTATAATAATAAATTCTTCGTCAAATATTCCACAAATTGAAAATCATTAACATATTCTCAACGCAATAATACGCACACCTCTGTCCCGAAGTACATCCACACGGAAACTAAGTAGTCACAAGATGGCGTCGCAAATGGTTCGTGATCGTATTCTCGCATTCACTGGGTTACACGTAACACGAAGGATCGATTCGCTTAGTGCTGGGAAAAGAATAACGCGCTTAGCAATAGTCAGCCGCTACAATGTCTTTTCGAATTTCATTCTCTACCTTTGTCGTCCCCCGCCGTCCCTCCGGCACCCGGCCGCGTCGATTAATTAGTGGACGCAGACGGACTGTGAATCTGCCCGTAAAATATTCCGCGCTGATGGCAGGCCGAACAATCCGTGCCCGTTCTCTCCGTCGGCTCGTTTCCTGCAATCATCGTTGTTGAAAATTAACGAAATTTCTCGTTCGAACGGGACAAAGAATCGGAAGGTTTCGTTTGTTCGTTGGAATTGGGTGAGTGGTGAACGAGTGTGGGAAAAATTAGCGATTTGGGAAGTCATTGGTGACTTCGGTGGAATTTACATGTGTGATGATGGAAGTTTTAGATAATTTGATTTTAGCTTGTTGAATGTAGTGTCGGTGGATTGCTGGAATCGCGCTGGTTAAAATGAGCCCAAACACGATGGGAATCGGACTACTTTTAGCGATTTAATGTAATTAACGAAATTAAAGGCTCGTTTCCATGAAATCTACAAACTAATCCGATTCCCATCGTGTTTGGGTTCGTTTTAATCAGCACAATCTCAGCAATCGGTTCCTGTCTACTGGGATCAGGTTACACTGAGCTCGAGATAATCAGTTATGGGAAAAAATGATTGGTGACTTCAACCAAATCGAGTTAGTATAATTTATTTGATTAAATTGTGATTCTTTGGAAACTTAATTAATTATCGAAGCTCACTCGTATATTCTAAATACATTTCTCGACTTTTCCAATAACAATTATAAAGTTAACCATAGTAAACGTCCAAAATTCAATCAAGGAAAAATAATTATCAAACTAAGAAAACAATGTCACCTAAGAATCTCAAAAATAACTACAGTAACCACAGCAAACCTCCAAAATTTCACCAAGAAAAAACATTGTCAACTATCAAAAATATTTTTGACAAAATTATTCCTTAAGAAAATTATTTCTTAACAAAGTTATTTCTTAACAAAATTATTTCTTAACAAAGTTATTTCTTAACAAAATCATTAGAAAACAAAGTTATTTCTTAACAAAATTATTTCTTAACAAAATTATTCCTCAACAAAATTACTTCTCAACAAAATCATCAAGAAACCAATTCTCCCCAAAACCCTCGAAACACATCATCAAAACGAGACGAGATCCACTAAACGCCCGAAGGGGTAGCAGCATCCCCCTCATCCTAGTATGCGTGCACGTCAGAGACCGTTCCCGAATTCCGTCGAGCACTCGCTGCGCACGCGCCGTGGAAATCACGCCTCTCGCAGCGAGGAGTCCACCCGCAACCCCTTCGCGCATTATTCCGAGCCCTAAGATCCACCCCCTGTGCGATGTCAAGGCAACCCTCCACTTTCAGTTAACACTCCGGTCGTGACTAATTACTCCACTTAATCGAACCTCCGATCTCCCCGTAAACCACTCGCGCCGCGCTAATTACTAATTACTAATATTAAGCCGGCATGGTCAGAAACGCCGGGAATTAACCGCTAACCAAGCGATGTTTACCATTTCCATTGCGACAAGGGTGGTAATTGTTTATTTAATTATAAATTTCTAAGTTTTGAAAATTTCTATTAGAATTTCCTATAACGTGATTGAATTTTTAAACTTGACTTCCTCGAATATACCTAGAATACTGATTGAGCCTAGTGGAATGAAAAATTAGAAAGAATCTGCTTCTGAAATTTCTTAATGAAGAAAATTTCAGTTGTGAATTTAATTTTATCTTTTCAAATGTAGTACCAGTGAGTTTCCTGGATCGCGCTGGTTAAAATGAGTCCAAACACGGTGGGAATCGGAGCAGGTTTAGTGTAAGGAAACTAAAGGCTGGTTTTCATGAAACCGAGAAACTAGTCCGATTTGTATCGTGTTTGGGCTCGTTTTAATCGGGAGAATCTGAACATTCTATTCGTACTGCGATTGAGAACCTAAGGTTGAACGTGTAACGAAGCAAATTTCTGTCGCATTAAATTTGATTTTATCTTCTCAAGTGTAGTGCCAGTGAATTTCTGAGCTTGCGCCGATTAAAACGAGTACAAACACGGTGGGAATTGGAGCAGGTTTAGTGTAAGGAAACTAAAGGCTGGTTTTCATGAAACCGAGAAACTAGTCCGATTCACGTCGTGTTTGGGCTCGTTTTAATCAGAAGAATCTCAGCAATCCGTCGGTACTGTATAATTGTATAATTAATAAATTGTATAATTGTTACCCTTTAACACGCTCAGATGTCGATAGAAATTGCTTCCTTGCCAGTTCTCAGGACTCCTCTCTGGTAAAAGCTCTGGTTTCGGATCGCGCTTGGCTGCCGCTTCCTCTGCAATTTTCTCAGCTTCTCGTTCCTGCAACAAATGTTACATTTCCCTGTTAATTATTTTAGTTTTTAATTGAAAATTTTGTTTTATAATATATACAAATAAATTTTATGGTAAAGGGTTAATATTTGGAAGTGACATACATACCTAATGGGAAAATTAATAATAGCCTCATTTTTTCAATTTTTAAATAGCTAAATTATTCATCAATGACAAAACCACAGATCATTCCACTCTATATTTACGAACTTCCACAAATTCTAAATGCTCAGAAGTGATATATATATATACCTAATAATTTTTTAAAAGAAAATGTTTAATTTTAAAAATTTCTAAATCACTAAAATATTCATCAATGACAATACTCCAGATCATTGCAGGCAATATTTATTCATTTCCACAAATTCTGCCTAATGACATATATATACACCTAACAACAAAATAAACAAGACCCAAATATTTTTAATTTTTAAATCACTAAAATATTCATCAATGACAAAACTCCAGATCATTCCAGGACAAACGCATTCCAAATTCCAAGTACTCAGCAGTAACACACATCCCATAGAGCTAACAACAAAACGAGTAAAAACGAACGAGCATCCATCCAATCATCACGAGCCACCACTCAGTTATGCAATGATGGCCACAATCCCATCGACGTGTTGTGACCAACGCCGCGGCGGCAGTTTGCTTGACACGGCAATCTAGAATCTAAACGCGGCTACCTGCGGAAGGGTGGCGCGCCACCTTATTTAATGTTCCCACCGATAGCGATCGTGAAATTACTTAAATTAATTTAATCCCTCGGCTCCCCGTGCCGATCGATTCCGATAAATTATTCAGAATCGCGGAAGTCAATGGTAATTTCCTGCCACTCCTCACGCCATCTTTCGATAACTGATGTTAATATTTATTGCTACTGTGTGGGTGGATAATTAGTTGTTGATTAATGAATTGATTAAGAATATTCGTGAATGTGTGTTTTTTAAAATGTCTGCCCTTAATGTGTGGAGTTTTGTTATAAGTAGTAGATTGTTAGAAGATAATGTTTTTCAGAAGTAACTTTTGTTAATATTTATAATTTAGGGATTTGGGGTAGTTAGGGGATTGAGTTTTTAGGGTAAGTATTTTGGGAGTTTGATTATTTTAATTATTGTGTTGGGGAAGTGGTGTGTTTGA